TGCCCTCGATTTTCGCCTGCTGCCAAACTGTCTATGCTCTCCCCCAATGAGTCCAGTATTGGGGTTCAGTTCAGTTGGTAGTGGGATTGGAGATGGTGTTCAGAGCAGTCTGGAGCCCCTGTCTCCTTCCCATCAGGGCAATCCTGAGGCACAGCCGGCCGGCCCTTCTCTGCGTGCAGTGTGCGCGCCTCCGGGACCTCCTTTCGCCGCTTCCCCGGAGTCCCGCCTTACAGCCCGGCTCCCTATGGATGAGCCTGGGTCCCCGGGGTCTGGCCTAGAATTGGGGTTCAGAGCAGTTGGAGCTGGGCCCAGCATAGTCGGAGCTTTTCTCTCCTTCCCGCTTGGGACCGCCAGCCAGGCACTCGGCCTCCCTCCTCTCCGGCTCTGTCCTCTCCGCGCGCGCCGCGTGTCTCCGTACCTTGGGCTTTTACAGCTCCTCCGCGCTTCCTTCTGGTTTTCTCCTTGCTTCTTGTTGTAGAATTTCCAGTCAGTCGACTTTCCTGTAGTTCTGGGTAATGTCCATTTTATATTTTAGTTGTATTTTGTTGAAATTGTTGTGTGCGGCTGCTGCTAGTTGCCTTCCCTAGCAGCCATCTTGGATTCTCCTCTCACTTGCTAACTCTTACGCGCGCCTCTTTATCTCTGCCTTCTGCAGCTTCTGTAAGTCTCACTGTACTTTTCTCTTTCCTTCTAGTTGTAGAATTTCCACTCAGCCATTCTTCCTATGGTTTTGGATGATGTCCGTTTTTTCTTTTAGTTGTAGTTTTGAAATTGTTGTGCGAGGCAGCAGTTTAGGTGTTTACTTATGTCACCTTCTTGGTTTCTCCTTACCTTATTTTTTTTTAAGATTTTAAAAAATTGATTTTTAGAGAGGAGGGAGAGGCTGTGAGACACATCAATGGGCTACCTCCTGCACACTCCAGATTGAACCTAAAACCTGGGCAAGTGCCCCCAGCAATGGAACTGGCAATCTTTTGGTGCATGGGACAGTGTGCAACCAACTGAGCCACGCCATCCAGAGCTGGAGCTTTATTTTATTTTATTTTATTTTATTTTATTTTATTTTATTTTATTTTATTTTATTTTATCATTGATTTTTAGGGAAAGTGGAAGGGGGTAGAAAGGGAGGGAGGGAGAAGGAGTGGGGCAAAGAGAGAGAGAGAGGGAAACATTGATGTGAGAGAGACACATTGATAATTGCCTCCTGAGAGCGTCCCAATTTGGGGGTTGGAGAATGAACTGTAACCCAAATACATGCCCTTGACAGTGAATCGAACCTGCAAACCTTTGGTGCTCAAGCCACTGTTTCCAGATGGCCAAGATTGGAGCCTTAATTTAAAAGATGTGTTACTCACTCTGTCAGGGTTAGCTCAGTTGGTTAGAGAAGCGGTTGCCAATTGATAGTCCATAAGGTCCAAAAGGTTGGCGACCGCTAGTTTAAGGAAACTTTTGGAGCAGCAGTTGCCAACCCGCAGTTAGCAGACCACTGTGGTCTGTGAGGTCTGAAAGGTTGGTGATCGCGGTGTTAGAGCACTATATTAATACACCATGGTTTTGTGGGTTCAATCCCCAATCCCCAATCAGAGCACATATAAGAAGCATCCAATGTATGCATAAATAAGTGGAACAGCAAACTGATCTTTCTCTCTCCCACTCTTTCCCTTTCCCCCCCCTCTCAAAACCAATTTAAAAATCAATCCTCAAATGAGGACATTTTCCTCATTAATCTCTAGAGATTAAATAGTGGCAAGAATACCACTTAGCCCTAGCCGGTTTGACTCAGTGTTTGGAACATAAGCCTGTGGACTGCAGGGTCAAGGACACATACCTCGTTGCAAGTTTGATCCCCGGCCCTGGTTGGGGCATGTGCCCCACAGGGGATGTGCCCACAACCAAGGTATATGCCCTTGACCGGAAATGAACCTGTGACCCTTGAGTTTGCAGGCGGACACACTATTCACTGAGCCAAACCTGTTTCGGCAAGTTGAATCATATTTTTAGAAGGGGAACCAAAATTACCTTCAAAGCTTAGGAAGCTGACCATATTCATTCTAAAAGTGTATATATAGGGAATATGAAAATTGACCATCATGTCATCACAAAGATGGCGGTGCCCATAGCCACAAGATGGGGCACCCAGTCCCCTCAACCCTCTGGAGTTCCCAGTTCTTTCACAGAAAATGGGTTGCCTCAAAAGTTGGTTAAGCTTCTTAGGACAAAAAGCATTCAAAATCTTTGAAAAGGGTGTTCCAATATTTGTAAAAGTTTAGACTAGGTGATTCAAGGTTATTTCCACTACAACCTTCTATGATATTAACATTATGAATTCACATTGTACCAGCTGTATTGTATGTAAGCAGATATTTAAAGGAATGGCCATTATTATTAAAACAACTCATAAAATCACAGTTTGTATGTCAAGAACATTCTGTGTGATTTTCCTAATGGCTGGAGTTTATGCCCTTAAACCAGCAGTTGGACATCCCCTGAGGGGTCCCAGATTGGAGAGAGTGCAGACTGGGCTGAGGGACACTCCCCTCCCCCATGCACAAATTTTGGGCACCGGGCCGCTAGTATGTAATAAAAATTTTTGCCTTGGTTAGTTTGCTTAGTGGTTACAGTGCCAGACTGTGCATTGAAGGCTCCATGTCTAGTCAAGGGCACATACCTCAGTTGAAGTTTTGCTTCCTGCCCCTATTCTGGGAGTGCAAGACACAACCAATCAATGTGTCTTGCATGTCTCTCTCACGTCAATGTCTCTCTCCCTTTCCTCCCCGCTTCCTTCTCACTGTTTTCTCTCTTCCCGCTCTTTTTGCTCTCTCAGAAAACCAATGGAAAAAAATGTCCTTGGGTGAGGATTAACGACGACAACAAAAATGTTGGTTTACTCCTTAAAAAATATAAGTATATATATTTCTATCTTTCTCCCTTTCTAGTGAAATAAAAGTGTTCTATAAACATTTTTTTCCATCTTGTTTTTCTTCACCTTGGCAGTACTCTGGGGATCATGGTGTAGTGTTAATAAAGATATTCCTCAACAATCCTTATTATAGTAGTCCCTACAGGAGATACTCTCCAACATCTCTCCAGATGATATCCCAAACTGTTTCTGCCTCATCATTAATATTTTTTCCTATATTACTTTCATATCTATGACATTTAATTTAGAAAATAGTTAATAATAGTAAGATATTATTAACAATTATTCTATTAACAATAACTAATAAAATAGAACAATTTAACAATTTACTATTATAAAAGTTATGGCAACATGGCTTCTATTCATGTCTTCCATGAAAAATTTAACGCTTTTTCCATCTTAACACATTATATTATGTAATGGCTATAAATTTTATAGTTTGAGGTGCTATGACAAAACTAACATGAATTTCATTTTCCTTCACAATTTCACAGATAGGAAATTTATTCTTACTTAGATCTTAGCAGCCTCAGCATACAGTTGTTTATTAAGTCAAGAATTTTTACTTTTTCACTTAAAGGAAGCACTTTTCGGCTTCTCTTTTGTATATCTGAATTGCGAACATCACTATTGCTCTTTGGGACCATTAAGTAAAATAAGGGTTACTTGAACACTAGCAGTTTGTTAGACTCTGTTTCATTTCCCCCCCCCTATTGATCCTTGGCCTTTGAAAAGGGAATTCCAATATTTATAAAAGTTTGGACTAGACAATTCATTTTTAGATTATATAAATTAATGCTATCTAACCCTTTGTGATATACTAGTAAGTTGATATCACCCACCCTCATCGCCAAAGACAATTTTATTACTCGTCTTTAAATGTCACTCTGAGCTTTGCTTTGAACTTTGTGTATCACCTTACTCTGAGTTATATGAGTTTGGGAAGAACCAGTGGGTAGAGTAATAAGATTCACAGTAGTTTTTATGGAGATCAGAGACTTTATCATAATGGATAACAAGGAGGTTATATTTTCAGTGGTGATTAATGTAAACAGGAATATAAGGTTGAATGGATTTAGCCCATATCATTATTAATGGGTGTTGGCGATTTTGTTTGTTTGTTACGGTTTGTTAAGTAGAACCTCAGGATGTCATCAGATGGTGAGCTAAGGTTCAACAAAAGACTGAAGGGAAAGTGAAACATAGAAGTTTATCACTGACTGACAGGTCCAGGAGGTGGTACACAGTATGCCTTGAAGATACTCATGAAGAAGCCAATGCAGGGGTGCACAGAGAGTGAGCAGCAGGACCTGGAGCAGATGCCTTTATTGGAGTCTGTGGGTGGAGTGCTTTGGGGTTCCTAGGCTAAGGCTGGATTGGTCAGTTCAAACCAAAGAGAGTTTTTTTTTTTGTTTTTTTTTTTAATCTCTAATGGGGATGAAGACTTACAGGGAAATAAAGGGGAAGGAGGTGGGAGGCAGGGGATACTTTATCACAAGGGGTTTTGGGTGAGTCATATCAATATATATATCAATATATACACACACACACACACACACACACACACACACACATATATATATATATAGTGATTCTTGAAGGCTATTATCTAGGGCATGTGCTTTTTTAGAGGAGCTAGTGTCAGTTCAGAGCCCTTCAGGCCATTTACCACGGCAGTGACATTATGGAATAGTTTAAATTCTCAGTAAAGGTTGGGGAGCTTGGGCAGACTTAGGTTCTAAAGATGTAATGCGATAAATTTATGGTTCAGGAGCTTTAAGCAACTTAGCACCACCTGTTATTGTGTGCCTTTTATGTTAATTTCTTGGTGGTTCCTTTAGTGGACCTCAGCGGACCGGCTGCTCAGGAGGAAGTAGTTTACATCTGGCTGATAGGGATTTCTGCCATGGCTTTATAAGTGTCAGACAGTCTATCATCAGAATGGTCCAGTTTTTTATTTTTGTTTTTTATTCAATTGGGTTTTTCTATTACAAAGAACTATAAGTTTGACTTTATATAGAATATGTGTTTAATGAATATTAACACAACTAAGTATTGGTTGTTTTTGTTCTTATTTCAGGCTACAGACAAGAGAAAAGCATTAGAAGAGACCAAAGCCTATACAACCCAATCCCTAGCTAGTGTTGCTTATCAAATAAATGCATTGGCCAACAATGTACTCCAATTGCTGGACATCCAAGCCTCTCAGCTTCGGAGAATGGAGTCTTCCATCAATCATATCTCACAGGTAATGGCTTATAAATAGCTTTAAGCAACAGCAGCATATATCAAAGGAGTAGATAGCCTGGTTATATGGATTCCTTACTCATTTTCTTACTGACTGACCATAGTTATTATCACTTTCAGCTTTAGCTTTGAGGTCAGTAAACATCTCTTCCTTTTTTTTTATTTTATTTTATTTTTTAACGTTTTTTCTCTGCGTGGTAAAATAAACAACATAAAATTTTATCATTTCAACCATTTTGAAGTGTATAGTTCATTGGCATTAGGTATATTCACATTGTTGTGCAATCATCACCACTTACCCTATTTCTCTTATAAGATCTTTTTTGAAGAAAAGTAAATTGCACACAAAGCATACAGTTTTATCAAATTTGATTATATACATTATCTATGAGACCATAAGTACAGTCAAGATAATGAACATCCTCCCCAAATTTCTTCATATCTTCATACTCCTTTGCTATCCCTCTTCGTTTTCCATACCCTGTCCTCAGGCTTTCTGTCACTATGGATTAGTTTACATTTTCTGAAATTTTATATAAATGAAATCAGATGTTATATATTATTTGTTTGTCAGGCTACTTTCAATCAGCATAATTATTGGGATATTCATTCATGTTGTATATAAAAATAGTTCACTCCTTTGTATTGCTGAGTACTATTCCATTGTTCCACATTTTCTTTATCCATTTATGGGTCTTTTTTGGAATATATATATATATATTTAAAATTTGTGCTTGTGCCATGCACTTTTAAAAAAATATATATTTTTATTGACTTCAGAGAGGAAGGGCAAGAGAGAGAAAGAGATCCAGATGAGAGAGAATCATCAATCAGTTGCCTCTTGCATGCCCCCCACGGGGAATGGAGCATGCAACCGGGGCATATGTCCTTGACCTGAATCGAACCTGGGACCCTTTAGTCCACAGGCTGACGCTCTATCTATTGAGCCAAACTGGCTAGGGCAAGTATATATTTTTATTGACTTCAGAGAGAAAGGAAAAGGGGGAGAGAGATAGAAACATCAATGATGAAAGAAAATCATCAATCAGCTGCATCCTGCAAGCCCCCTACTACTGGGGATGGCCCACCACTGGGGACTGTGTTGTGACTGGGAATTGAGCCATGACCTCCTGGTTCTTAATTCAATGCTTAACCACTGAGTGACACAAGCTGGGCTATTTACATGTTGATGGACATCTGGATTGTTTTCAGGTTTTGTCTATTACAAATAAAACTGAATATTTGTGTACAAGTCTTTATATGGTCATGTGTTTTTATTTCTCTTTGGTAAATTAGCTTCCTCTGAGTGGAATGGCTAGGGCACATGGTACATGTTTAACATTATAACCAAATTTATAGCCAAATTGTTTTCCAAAACGATTATACCATTTTACCTTCCCATCAACACTAATGAGAGTTTTAATTGCTTCTTGTTCTCACCAGTGCTTGCTGTGGTCAGTTTTTAAAATTTTAGCCATTTCAATAGATATGTAGTAGTGTCTTATTGTGGTTTTAATATCTTTTTGTGTATTTTCTGTAGGTTTCATATTTAAGCCTTGCATTTCTTTGTCAGATTTATTCCAAAATATGTCATATTTTTTTATGCTACTTGGTATTTATTTTAAGTCTTGATTTTTTTCTTCCTTATATATACAGAAATACAATTGGTATTTGATAAATTTTGTGTGCTTGTTAAAGTCACTTAATAGTTATAGTATTTATTATATAGATTCCATTGGATTTTCTATGTAGAATATCATGTTTATAAATAAAAAGTTTTATTTTTTCCTTTTCTATTTTTCTTGCTTTTTACTTTTATTTATTTTTGCCTTACTGCACTAGTTTGAAGCTTCAAGACAATGTTGAAATAGGAGTAGTGAAAATGGTTATTGTTACCTTGTTGCTATTTTATTAGAAAGCATTCAGTCTTTTACATAAGTATAATTGTAGTCTATGTTTTTCAGAAATATGTTGTATGAAGTTGTTTTCTAGTGCTAGTTTGCTGAGAGTTCTTATCAGAAATGGGTAATGGATTTTATAAAAAACTTTTTCTTTGTTGAAATGATCATGTTTATATTTTTTGTCTGTTATATGGTGAATTAATTTTTTTTTTTCTTTTAAATGTTAAACTGGCATTGCTTTCCTGGGATAAATTACTTGACTGTGATGTATTATCTGGTTCAGAGATTTTTAGACTTACTTTACTAAAATTTTGTTAAAAATTTTGTTTCTATGCTCCTGAGATTTATTGGTCTAGTTTCCTTGTAATATCTGGTTTTGGTGTCAGTATCTTCAATTTTATTAAAAAAACACATATGTGTAGAATTGATATTCGTTCTTCTTTCAACATTTGGCAGAATTTATCAGTGAAGCAAGCCATCTGGAGCTGGAGTTTTCTTGGTAGGGAGGTTTTGAACTATGTATTTAATTACTTTAATAGATATAAGACTTTTCTGCTTATCTGTTTCACATTAATGGATCTTTTATTTTTCCAATATTATTTGGCCCTTTCCCCTAAGTTGTGATTTATTTGCATAAAGCTGTTAATAACATTCTCTTCTCCTTTTGAAAAATATAGAAGCTAGCCGAAACCGGTTTGACTCAGTGGATGAGCGTCAGCCTGTGGACTGAAAGGTCCCAGGTTCGATTCAGGTCAAGGACATATGCCTGACAGTCTGGCCTCTCCCTGACTGGGTCGTCTGTCAGAGCAATAGGGTGGTTCTGTTTTCCTCCCAAACAAGAAAGCCAGCGCGTATTAGCTGTCTGCCCTCTCTGCTTGCCTCGAGTAAGCCAGCAGTGAACTCGGGCGGCTGCCTTTTCTCGCGCACAGATCTCCGCACCTTTACAGTTCTCGAGGCTCAGTGTGCCTTCTCTCTCCTTCCCGGATAGTAGAGCCCCCTCTCAGCCAGCCTTCTGGCACTTCAAGGCGATGTTTCCCCTGTTTCCCAGCTCTAAAAATTGTTGTGGTAGGCTGCATTCAGGTTTCTACCTATGCCGCCATCTTGGTTTCTCTAAATTCAGTTTTAAAAATATATTAATTTTGCCTATTATTTATTTGTATGGTCATGCCATTTGTATGGACTTACATATTTTATATTTATTTGAATAATTAATCTAGTGCAGGGACCAGTAAATTATGATTGTGTGGGCTAAATACGACCCCCACTTTTTTTTTTTTTTAACAAAATAAAGTTTTATTGGATTATGGCAGCATTCCTTTGTTTACATAGTGCTATTGCTACTTTTACCATTAGAGTGATACAGTTTAGTAATGACAGATGGTCTTTACATATGGCCTGAAAGTCTAAAATATTTACTCTTTGGCTCTGTGCAAAACAAGTTTGCCAACCCTTCATGTAGTGTTATGCAAACATTTATTTAAAAAAAATTCAGTGTTCTTGAGATTTGATACCAACTTCTCCAACTACTTCTAATAAGTGACTTTTTTTTTGAGATAATTTTTCTGGAAGTTGATTTGCTGACAGTTCTGAAGAAGCCAGAAACTGTGAGGAATCGGGCTTGTATATATTACATAATGATAGAAATTGTGCAAGTTTATATGTATTATATGTTTGCCACCCATGTCAAATCTCCTCCCATTACCATTTATCATTCATTTTATATATTCAGCAGGTAGAGGTTAGCTTGGGTAAGAAATGATGATAGAAGCACTCCTAGATGTTTTGGTATTTTGACACCAGTTGGTACACTGCAGTACTATTCTGACACTAACCACTTGGAATCAAGACTGCCCTTACCTCAGAGGCCAGTGGCGAACTGGATCTTCCTTCTACCCCCAATTTTGACCTTCTGACCACTAATCCCACACCCCCATCAAGTTTGATAATTTAATAGAATGACTCAAAGAATTCAAGAAAACATTGTCCTTAATGATTACTGTTTCATTTTTAAAGGATACAGATCAGGACCAGCCAAATGAAGAAACACATAGGGTGAAGTCAGGAATGGTCTTGAACAGAGTTTTTGTCCTCCTTTCTGTGAAATCAGGGTACATTACCACCTCTCCCCTTTTACCCCCCTACCCCCCCTCAAAGCACCAACCAGGAAGCTCCACTAAACTTTGGTGTCCAGAGTTTTGATCAGATGTAGAGATTTTTTATCATTTCATTGGCCACATTCAACTCAATCTTGCCTGGCTGCGTAGCTCAATTGGTTGTAGTGTCTTTCCAATATGCCAAGGTTGTGGTCTCTATCCCTGATCAGGGCTCATTACAGCAGGAAGCTTGGGGAGTGTTACATCGGGGGTGGGGGGTGGGGGGTGGGGTGGGGGTGAGGGTAAGAGATCAATCGAAGGACTTGTATGCATGCATATAAGCATAACCAATGGACACAAGACACTGAGGGTATAGGGTAAGGGTATGTGCAGGGGTGGGGGGGAAAGAGGGGGGAGGGCCCAGGGGAAGGTCATTGGGGAAAAAAATGAGACACATGTACTACTATTTGTAATATTTTAAAGAATAAAATAAAATTTAAAAGTTCACAAAAAAAAAAAACAACCACACACACACACACACACAAAAAAAACACCAACCCCCCCCCCCCCCCCCCCCCCAAGCCGAAAACCGATTTGGCTCAGTGGATAGAGTGTTGGCCTGCGGACAGAAAGGTTCCAGATTCGAATCTGGTCAAGGGCATGTACCTTGGTTGTGGGCATATCCCCAGTGGGGGGGTGCAGGAGTCAGCTGATTGATGTTTCTCTCTCATCGATGTTTCTATCTCTTTATCCCTCTCTCTTCCTCTCTGTAAAATTCAATAAACCCAGACCGCTTTGGCTCAGTGGATAGAGCGTTGGCCTCCGGACTGAAAGGTCCCAGGTTTGATTCCGGTCAAGGGTATGTACCTTGGTTGCGGGTACATCCCTGGTGGAGGTGGTGCAAGAGGCAGCTGATCAATGATTCTCTCTCATCAATGTTTCTAGCTCTTTATTCTTCTCTGTAAAAAATCAATAAAATATATTAAAAGTACTCAATAAAATATATT